CTATCAATAACATTATAATAGGCAGTGTTCGTTTGAGAAACTGCTACAGAAACACACATACACATAAACACACACACACGCACATACATACGCGTGTGCGCACGCACGCGAGCGCGCGCACATATACACACACACGATAGAAATTGAATGCCTAGAATAATAGCACGACCTTTATACGTAGCTTGAAACACGTTCAACGCGACGACGGTTTCCTTTCTTTCCTTTTTCTTTTAATTATTAATCCTTTCTGAATTCGAGAAAAGTATGATCACTGGACGCATGTTGTATGCGGTTTACCATCCGGAACGGATTGCGCGTTTTTTTTTTTTTTTTTTCTTTTCTTTGACGATTAACGTTTACATTTAGCAGAAGAGAGAATGCGTCGTACTAAAAAAATATATGTATATATGTATATATATAATACATACATATACGTATGTATACGTGCCTATCGGTTTGTTTCACGTGGAACATCCAACCGCGAAAATTTCAGGCTCGCGATCGATACGTACGATCGTGTGTTAGCCCGCATTCGAGCGGAGCTGTGTCGCTTAGATGAAAAAGAAAGAAAGAAAGAAAGAAAGAAAAAAAAAAAATAAATAAATAAAAAAAGAACGAAATGCCCGCAATTTATCGCGCGCATCGTCATTTTTTCCTTCATCATTTTCTTTGTTATTAATTTTAATATTTGTCGTCCCGTATTTTTCCTCGTTCTTTTTTTTTTTTAATTTTTTTTTTTTAAGAAATCGATGTGATCGGAAATGAAACGATCGGAACTCGAAAATTTCTTTCCTTTTCGTTAAACGATCACTTAGATTCGTGACGAAACGACGACGATAATTAGCAAAGCACGTACTATAAAAGAAATGAATAGAGTTTTAAATACGATATCACTGTAGACCGCGACATCGGTGATAGAAACAGTTTTATAGTGAGCGGTAGTAGCGACACATTAGTAACAATTGCAGCAACAGCTGGTGGTTTTGTGTGTGTGTGTGTGATGTATATATATATATATATATATATATACATATATATATA